CCATACAGCATTCACAGCAGTTGACAAAGGGATGGGGGAAATACAAGTGTCGTTTCACTTAACACATTCAACTAATAGAGGTTACCGAAGAACAGATGTGGATGTCCTTTGAATGCAAAAAACATTCGTACATTATTTGCTATCATTGCTCTCCGCACACTCTCTCACCAAAGCCACAGGATTGAGAGACACATCTCGCCAAGTTAAAAAATATCCATTATGCACCACCAAGTCTCTGCACGCGCTCTCTCCTTTTTCTCGCTCATACTAGCCTTTCATGCCTCGGCACCACCATCAATCCCACACAAGGTTTCAAAAGTTCAAACAGCCTTCTGGTTCCATATCACAGCCTTGCGTTCATAGCGTTGGTACGACTCCATGAAATAAAGAGTAGTGGATAAAAATGGGACACCCACCGTCAAAGACGCAGCCTGTGCAGTGTGATGACGATTTCTTGAATGAGAAAGCATGTAGACAGAAGTATTCCTAAGGCAGAATATTTACAGCACTACTTTCAATGAAAGTGCTTCTTCCATAAACATTTGAAATGAGATGAACTGCAGAGATTAAATGAAGGCTTCGTATTGTACTTTTGTATATGAGGGGAGGAGACAAGTGTTAACAAACAAAACAAAAAGAAAAGAACCAAACATTGTGATACCATCATCTCCAGAAAGGAGATCTTCCTAAGGAAAAATTCATATGGTGGGGTTCAAAGTAAAACAAGGAAAAAAGAATGTAGCTCTAACCAATGGTTTCCATTTTGAACATGCAAAGAATTCACTTGACAAGTCCAGGGATACAGGAGAAACCTTTTGATATTAATTGTAGTGTGTTGGTTTACCAATCAGGCAAACAGCAGTTCACTTTCAATCACTCAAGTATTTCAACCTTTTTAAGTAACAAAACTTATAAAATTCCTTTAGTTCTTCCTCTTTTTCTAAAGAAAAATGTCAAAAATACTGCTGATATACTCCACACTGAACAAACCAATTTTGAAAATTTTTAGTACATATATATCTTACAATATACTTACCATGAGTCTAGAAAAATTTGAATTCTTCCAGTCTATATCAATCAAACAGCACCCCTGTCTACATTCCCCAGCCAGATGACTTGGAATCCATGCTCGAACCAAAGCCTCCATTAAAACCACTGCCTGACCCTGCATTTGATGTTGATCCCCAGCCAATTGCTGCACCAGAATTAGAGCCACTGTAAGAGTTATTTCCGGAACCAAAGGCCTGATTTGGCTCCCTCTGCATGTTGCCTTGATTTTGATTATTACCTGAAGGGCCTGACTGGTTTTGCTGACTGGCTAACATGCCCATCATACCCCAGCTGCTCTGCAGTGCTGCTTGGGCCGCAGCCATCATTGCTGGATTAATACTGAAAGCCCCAAAATTCATCCCTCCACCCATATTACTACCTTGATTATTTCCCAAGCCAGTTCCACCCCCTCGACTATTACCAAATCCACCCTGATTTCCAAAACCACCTGGATTACCACCAAATCTTCCACTTCTTTCTAACTGTCTATTGCTATTGTGCTTAGGTTCAGCATTGGATATATGTACGCTGATTCCCTTAATGATCAAGTCCTCTCCACAAAGAGACTGGGCAACCTGGTCATCTGCAAAAGTAACAAAGGCAAAAGCCCTGAATGGTTTGGGAATGAAGACATCCACGACTTCTCCATACTGGCAAAAGAACTGCTCTAACTCCTCAGCAGTCATATCTTCAGTACAACGTCCAACAAACACCTTCCTACTCCTTAAAGGCTCATCTGGGCTTTGCTTAGAATTAGGAAGTTTACAGTCACACCACCGTCCATCTGTCATATGTCGCTGTGACATTACTTTCACCTGGGTTTCATATTCCGTAAAACGAACAAAGCCAAATCCTTTGGAATGACCAGTTTTAAGATCTTTTTTGACCTGAACCACTAGAACTTCTCCAAAAGTACTAAAATATTCTTTTAGACCTTGTTCGGTTGTTTTCCATGGCAGACCCAACACTATGAAATCAGATGTTTTCTGGACTGCTCTTTTCACTTTTACTGCTGATGAAGCATCTGTCTCATCCATTTTTCTTTTGTTATCTTTGGGATAATTGACAACGTAGACCAGATTTCCCCAGCCAGCGTCTGGGGCGTGCAGAATCCCTTCTACTAGTCGGACCCCTCTCATACACTGAGATACGGGATTCCTGTAGCGCAGGCCACAAGCCCCTGGAAACTGGGCCGTGACCGTTGACAGCAGCACTGTGCCATCATCTTCTGATGGTATTTCAATGGGTTCGTCATTCTCATCTTCAGTCACCCGAATATACTCAGACATGTTGGTTTTTCGCCTAGATCACTGCTTGCAAACACGACAAAAAAACAAACAGCCAAAAAGGGCTGCTAGCAGCAGCTTCTAAAGACATGTGACCAGAGCTCCCTAACATAAGAAGAGGAAAAGACTAACACAATATTCCTGTGGACTTGCAACCATCAAAAAAGTCACAGAAAACTAACATCTTCTAAACCTCAGTAGTAGAAAACTCTTTCTTCAATATCCTATTATAGTTTGAAATTAACACTTTATACTACCTTGAGCAGTAAGGACTGCCTTTTGCACCAAAGAGAATAATAAAAAACTAACCTCTCACCAGCCTTTTCTCACATATTGTTCTTAATTGCCATCGAGTCAAGAATGACTCATAAAGACCTTATGAACAAAAGACCTGAAGCCTTTCTGTAACCATCGTTTCTCAAAGTTCATAGAGATTCCAGAGGCATGTTGTTTGGGATGTGGATGCCATTCCTACTTCCATTTGTCTCAAATAGTTTGGGCATGTTGTCAAGAGGAGCTGTTTCTTGGAGAGGGACATCATGCGGTAAAGGAGAGGGGTCAGTGAAAGAGAGGTAGACTCTCAAGGAAATGGGTTGACACAGTGACAGCAGCAGTGGGCTTAGGTATGTCACAGAAGATGAGGATGGCACAGAATAGGACAGACTTACATTTATTGTTCATAAGGTTGAGTCATATTCAACTAGACAGTACCTAACAACAACCTCTCAGCTGGGGTGCTCTGGTGGCCTAGTACGTAAAGATTTGCACTATCAACTCAAAGGCAGGCAATATGAATCTACCAGCTGCTCTGTGAGAGAAAGAGATGTATTCTTTTCTTGCATGATTTACAGCCTCTGAAAACCCACTGGAGAGTCAACTAAGAATAAATTCAGAATTAACAGCACCTTTGGAGTAGTGCTTGATTCGACGGCAATCAACACAACCAATCTCTTATTTAAGAAATACTAAGAAGGATCTACGTCTTTGAATTGTGGTGTTTGAGAAGAGTATTGAATATCCCATGGACTACCAAAAGAATGAACAAATCTGTCTTGTGAGAAGTGTAACCAGGGTGTTCCTTAGAGGCAAGGATGGTGAAACTCTATCTCATATACTTGGGATATGTCAAGAGGGGCCTTTCCTGGGAAAGGTGGAGGATTAGAGATAGAGAGGAAGACCTTCAACAAGATAAGCTGACACAATGACAGTAACAATGGACTTGAGCATATCAGAGATGGTGAGAATGGAGCAGGATAGATCAGAAAGGTTTCAATTGCCATGATAGTAATCAACCTGACTGCACAAAACAAGAACAACCACCTTCCACAATACTTGAAGCTAAAATAAGGCTAACACTCTTTTCCAGAAACCATTTTAAAAAGAAAAGATTTTTCTCTTAACCTGGCAGAAGCAATTAACAAGCTTCCTTATCAAAACTGAAGCCTCTTGATGTTATTTGCTTGTCTCTCCTGCAACGTGTAGTGGAGAATTTTTAGCACATAGAGGTAAGTTTTCTTGGGACCCTGTAAAGTATTTTATCCTAAGATAAAATCACCAGACTCAAATATATAGACAAACTAAAACACTGAAAACTTCTCGCATCCCACTGTCTTGGCCCTCCCTGTTGTTGTTGTTAAATGTCAATGAGTTGAGCGCAACTCATAGTGACCTTATGAACAAAAGATCTGAACCCTATTCTATAACTATTGTTTCTCTGTGTTCATAGAGTTTCCAGAGACATGGAAGTAGATGTCACTCCTGCTTCCAAGCCTGTCTCAATCTGGGAGCTCCACCAAATCCTGTCCACGATGGATAACCATTATGGCATTTGACACACCAGTGGCACAGTGTTCAGCATTATAGCAATCTCAAGTTACTTCAGTACAGCAAATTGACAGACCAGTGCTGTGCTACTTAGAAGAAGGTTCATTCAAAACACAATTAACACATTTTTAAATACAAGATGCAATCACCTTTTAAATACAAGCCCACCCACCAGGTCCTTGTTGACTCTAAACAGAAGGCATCCAGCCCGCAGCTCATTGTTAGCTAAATACAGAAAATCCAATCAGCTCACCTCCAATTGTGAATGAAAAAAACCCAGCCAAACAGTCCATACCCTGACCCTCAGCAAAACAAGAGAATCCACCCTCCAGAATCCAACCACTTCATACATGAGATTCCAAAGTGGAAACTAAGTAAGGCCCAACTGCCTTTTAAATACAAGGCTCACCCACCAGGTCCTGGCTGACCCTCATTAAGAGGCTTCCAGCTCACAGCTCATTGCCAGCTAAAATCTGGAAAAATCTAATCAGCTCACACCCAATTGTGAATGGAAAAAAAAACAACCCCAACAACCTCCCCCCAAAAACCCAACCAAACAGTCCATATCCAAACCTCACCAAAAAACAAGAGAACCCACCTTCCAGAATCCAATCACTTTGCACATGAACCTCCAAATAGGAGGTTAACACCTTAAAGACAAAGAAAATCTTCTCACATTTTGCTGCCCTGATCCTTCCCTATGTAACCTTCAAAGTCTCTAAGATGAGAAGGTAGATTTGGGAAGCTCGTACCTTCTCTACCTGTTCCTCTGGGTCAAAGTTAGCAAGCTGTGCTCAAACATTCAGAGAACTAGATATATAGAACTACAGGATTTGAGCCTAGTTTGAAGTTGAGGCAAGGCCTCGAATCTCTATTCCACTTAGGCTGGCACATTCTTGGGACTTTCCCACTGAGCCAGTTTTGGGGAACAGCACAGGGTGAGGAGATGTCTGGATACAGACCCCTTAAGTCTAACCATCTCTAGGATAAGACTTCAATTGCTTTCTCTTGGGGTAAGCTGTAATATGTTTAGAAGATTTCACAGCATCCGAGACATAGACAGGGAGGGGATAAGATCCACAGTCAAATGATCTCTTTTCTCAACTGTCTTCTCACCTGGGAAGAGGACACGGCTGACCATTCCAGGGAACACCATCATAAAAAGGGGCAGCACCTTCAGGTATGCAGCCATCAGAGAACCACCTTTGGCATGGGACAGGTTCTTGGCAGCCAGAGTTCGCTGAACAATCACCTGGAAGACAATGACGGTAGTTGGAATCTGTTATGGCTTTATTGTCAAACAAATTGTGTATAGGAGTTCCTGAATGATATAAAACAGTGCGCTTAGGAGCTAACCAAAAGATTGAAAATTTGTATTTGCTCATAGGTGCTTTAGGAAAAAAAGACTGGGTAATCTACTTCCAAAATCAACCCTTGAAAACCTTATAATGCGCCCTGCACACATGATGTTACCATGTTGTTGTTAGGTGTTGTCAAGTCAAGTACAATTCATAGGGACTCTATGAACAACAGATCTGAACCCTGTCTATCCTGTGCCTTCCTCACACTTCTTAACACAGTAGAGCCCATTGCAGCAGTCACTGTGTCAATCCACCTGGTTGAGGGTCTTCCTCTCTTTCACTGACCTTCTACCTTTCCAAACATGATATCCTTCTCTGAGGAATAGCCTCTCCTAGCAACATGCCCAACGTATATGAGACAAAGGTATTACCATGAGTAAGGATTAACTCAATGACAACTAGTGCTGGTAAGTGTGTATAGATTCTGGCAGCTATCACGATTTTAGGATCTTTGCTCACCTGGCTTCTCTTTGAAGAAATATCTCTTTTCAAGTCTCTATTCTTGTAGTTCAGTTCAAGTAGTTCTGACCCCTCATCCTGCTCCCTCCTCACTCCTTTAATCAAGGATTGGATATGGCCTGTTCTCCATAGAAGAACTTCACCTCTTTGGCTATCATTTAGTTATGGAAAAGCATATACTCAAACCAGGTTAGTTAGAGCCCCATATGGAACTTCTTCTAAGTGAGTGAGAAAGAAGATTACTAACTGTATGGAATGGTTAGGACTTCTGGCTGTATCTCTGCTAAAGCGTTAAGAAAGTCTTTTAGGGACTAAAATCTTCCCAGAGCAAAGTAAAAGCAAAAGACACAGAAAAATAATTTCTGATGATCCCTCAACGTGGCTCTTTTAGGTCTGGTTAGCAGTGTGGGCTATGAAGATAGACAGTATGGGTTTAATTCTCCACTTCCTGGTTTGTGGCTTTGGCCAAATGACTTGACTTATCTTTGCTCATTTCCTCATCTATTGTTGTTATGGGCCGTCAAGTCCACTGTAACTCATAGTGACCCAATGCACAATAGCTCTGAAGCCTGCCCTGTCCTGTCCTGAGCCAATCTCACTGACTCTGACACACTCACCCCCATTACCCCAGTTACTGTGTCAATTCATCTCATCCAGGGTCTTTCTCTCTTGCACTGTCCCTCCACCTTCTTAAAGCATGATGCCCCTCTCCAAAGACTGGTCCTGCCTTGCAACATGCCCAAAGTATGCCAGATGGAGCTTCAGAATCCTGGCCTCCAAGGAACAGCCTGGTGTCACTCTCTCTCCAGGATGAACCCGTTTGTTCTCTTAGCAGTCCGTTCAATACTCTTCTCCAGCACCACAGCTCAAAGGCATCAATCTCTTTCTATCATCCCTAGTCATTGTCCAGCTTTCTGATGCTTAACACGTAATTGCAAAGACCATGGCCTGGATCAGGTGCACCTTAGACTCTAGACTGACATCGCTGCTCTTCAATACTCTGGAGAGGTCTCTGACAGCAGATTTTCCCAATGCAATTCATCTTTTGATTTCCTGGCTGCTGGTACCGAGAGTGTTGATGGTGGAGCCAAGTAAACTAAAGCTGCTAACAATCTCAATCTCTTCACACTCTAACATGATGCTGCCAATTGGCCCAGTGGTTAGAATAATTGTTTGTTCTTTATGTTGAGCTTCAATCCATATTGAAGACTACAGTCCTTGACCTTCTGCAGCAAATATTTCAGGTCCTCCTCAGTTTCAGCTAGCAAGGTTGTATCATCTACATAATGCAGGTTGTTAGTGAGTCTCCCTCTAATCCTGATGCCACACTCTTCCTCACAGAGCCCAGCTTCCCAGGTGATATGTATTAATTATTTATTTTAATAATTAATCATTAAATTAATTGCGTATAGTTTGAAAAGGTATGGAGAGAGGAGAAAAGAATGAAGCTGATACGTGAATCTCTGTATGAGATGGATTGATTAGTGACTGGGATAATGAAAGTAGGTGTGTCAGAGACAATAAGGTTGGCTCAGAACAGAGCAGGGGTCAGAGCTGTTGTACATAGGGTTGTTATGAGTTGCAAGCAACTTGAAAGCATATAGCTATAACAACAACAACAACTGAAAGATCAACAGATCGAATTCACCACAGCCAAGATAAGCAGTCTCCTGTAAAGGTCCCTAGTCTTGTGGATTGAATGTCCATGCTATTAGCTTAATTCTACACTGTCTCTCAAGATCAGTATTTGTTAAGGACAAAAAAAAAGATATCTCTCTAAAAATATAGGCATATTGCATCCATCATGAATTTTTTTTAATAGCTAACAGTTGAGCCATAGTCTTTGCAATTACTTGCTATGCATCAGAAAGCTGGACAATGACTAGGGATGATAGAAGAACTACTGATGCCTTTGAACTGTGATGATGGAGAAGAGTACTGAATATAAATAAACTGCAAACTGCTAGGAGAACAAACAGGTTCATCCTGGAGAGGGTGAGACCAGACTGCTCCTTGGAGGCAAGGATTCTGAAGCCCCGTCTGACCTACTTTGGACGTATTGTGAGGCAGGACCAGTCCTTGGAGAGGGTCGTCATGCTTGGGAGGGTGGAGGAATAATGCAAGAGAGGAAGATCCTCGATGAGATGGATTGATTCAGTGACTGGGGCAAAGGGGTGGGTGTGTCAGAGACAATAAGATTGCACAGGATAGAACAGATTTTAGGACTGTTGTACTGAGCGTCGTTATGAGTTGCAAGTGACTCAATGGCACATAACAAGAACAACAACAGTTGAAAACCTTAAAAGTACAAACAAGTATACAAGGAACTGGTACCATCTCTTCACGGTATTCATCTTTTCAATCTCTGCTTTCCTCTTACAGTGTACTGCTCTGCGTAGTTTTTTTATACATCCATCCTCTTTCTTTATGCATGAATACTCACTCACTCATTGTCAAATTAAAACCAACTCATAAAAAACAAAACCAAAACAACTCATAGCTGACACTTAGGGAAGCTGAAACTGTGGGTTAGTAGTACAGTCCCTATGGACTATGCCACCAGAAACAAATGCAAATATTGATACTATTCTTTCCCTTCCAGTATGCAAGGGCTTCTAATACACATTACTCTGTTTGGGTTGGGTTTTCCCCCTTGTTTTTCTTTTTTCCCCATCAGATTAAAACAAGTTTGGAAGCAGGAGTGGCATCCACTTCCGAAATGGCTCGCCTCAGGAAACTATCAACAGTGTTCAGGTCTTTTGTTCATAGGGTCACTATGAGTTGTCTATGACTCGACGTCAACGAACAACAATAACAAAGAGAGAGCTGTGTTGGCTTAGTGGACAGAAAGTTATGCTACCAAGCCCAAGGTGGGTGATTTTAATCTTGCAGCCCTTAGGCCTGGTTCAAATTGGTTTTATGTCAAACATTCTTCTAAGTGGAATAGCCCTGGTCTGTGCATTGCTGCCCAGAGGTAACTCGTGGTTGCTGTGATGCTAAACTCTGTGACACTGATGTGCCAAATGTGATAATGGTTACCCATGGTGGACAGTGTTTGGTGGAGCTTCCTGATTAAAACAAGTTTGGAAGAAGGAGTGGCATTCATTTTCAGAGGCTTGCCTCTGGAAACTATGAAAAGTGCCCAGGTCTTTCATTCATAGGGTAGCTATGAGTCGTCTAGAACTTGAGGCCACCTAACAACAACAACAACAACAATAATAATAATGCTTTTGCCTTCACACATTTACCCTGGTTATGCACACTGCTGCAAATGCTCTTCCCCCAGCAAACACACAAAGTAATCATTTTACCGCTTCAAGGTCTTTGCTCAACCCTCAACTTTTGCTCAACTTCTAAAACAACCTCCCCTGAATTTTGACGATGGATTAAATTGTGTGCTCACTCCCCCATCTCAATGCCAGACTGGATAATTCCACTTGGGAATTGGGCTTTGTTATGTTATTAAGACAGGATTAGCATAGAGCTGCATTTTGTGCTAATCTCTTTCGAGATATATAAAACAGATTAAACAAGCAAGTAGGAACAGAGACAGAGAAAGATTGATTAAAGGCCACATGGACTCTCTAAGGAGTCAAGAAATAGAACCTGCAAAGATAAAGACCTTCACTGAAAGCTGATAGAAAATTTTATTTTCACACTACCAATATTCTTTAACTCATTCTGTGGTTTTATACAGAATTCAACTATCTCACCCTTTAACGTCCTATGTAATGGGTTTGTTTAGCGTATCTATTGTTTGTTTTATGTTTATGCCCACTGGAAGGTCCACAAAGGCAGAGGGCTTTGCCTATTTTATTGACATATGATTTCTAAGTGCCTGGTAAGTGCTAGTTGGATAAATTAATTCTAATACCCAACTTAACTTCCATTTAAATGTCATTTCTTTTTTCTTACTAGATTCTTTCAGAAATAAGCAGATTGCATGAAACTTTTGCCTATCAAGTATTAGTTTTGGATTTGCCACTGTCATTAGCAAAAGCAAGAAGTAAAATAGCAGATAGAACCCTGGAAAGGAAGGAGTCAAGGAGTATGGGAAAATGTAAATGAGAGAAAAATAGTGACTTCCATTAGCTCAAGGGAAGAAGTGCCTTAACTCAGCTGGTTGTCCTGTACCTGATCTGTGCACCAGTACCACAGGGAGGGGACGGACATTCCAAACAGGATCCCAGGCCATGGGAGATCAGAGTTTACTGGGTCTCGGAAAATATGGAAGGCGTCTTCTCGGGGTAGCCCGCAGCTGCTGTTCTCTGTCCGGTTGCTAGCCAGAGCCAGGAAGTACTTCTCCTTCAAACCTTCCAACCCACCAACTGCAGCAAAACCTAGAAATCAGAAGAACATTAAGTTTATCTGAAGCTTAGATTCTTTCAGCAAATGATGAGGCCCATAGTGAAATCTTAGAGCAGAATTTTCAAAGAAAGTGGTTCCCTGTAAAAGTCCTTGAGAGTTCCCTCCCTCCTAGTCTTCTCAAAAAACACCATTTAGTAGTGCCTGTAGATGACTTCTCAGTTTTAAATGTGTAATATAAAATATGTGCTCGTGTTCAGTGCCTTTGAGTTGAGTACAACTCACAGCAACCCTGTGAAAAACAGAACTGAATCCTGTCCTATCCTGTGCCATCCTTATCATCTCTGACTCATGTGAGCCCATTATTGCAGCCATTGTGACAATCCATCTCTTTGGGAGAGGGAGGTGTTTTCCTCTCTTTTGTTATAAAAAGAAAAAAAGATCAAAGCTGTATATAATTATAAAAATTATTTAAAATGTGATACAGTAATTTATTGGTTCTATTAAATAGTAGGATCTAGTTTTTAGTATAACAACCTAATTTCAAGGTAGTTGTGAGCAAAACCAGTATTTCTTTTCATCAGTAACAACTGTAATGTAATATAAAACAGCTGTGCTAACTTGGTTTAAAAGTAATGGATATTGAGAAAATGATTAAGTCTTATTACGTACGTACACTTGTAATGGGAAAGGCTGGATTTCAATAGCAAATTGGTGACACAGAGATGTAACTTTCTCCCAACCAATTTGAAGACTCCCTGAATTCTGACCATGGACTTCAGGTTAAAAAGCTTTGTTCTAAGGAACCAATGGACTTCTCAGGTTTTAACAGGGTTGTTTTTTTTTTAACCTTTCATGAAAAATTATTTGTGAATCAAGAAAAATGAACCTTCCTGGAGAGTAATGGTGGTGGGGGAGTATGTGTTTCTTAATAATTGAATCTAGTCACATGTTTCTAAAGCGAATGGACATCAGTAACTGCATAGATCTCTGAAGGTAGAAAAGTCTAGAAATAGTCAAGTTAGGTGAAGGGCAAAGCAAATACAGAGAGTCTGGTTAGAGTGTGGGATTACAGTGTAGGTATTTATTACAGGTGATGTTATGAAGTAACTGTGTACAGATGATTGAGTGACAAGCCAATCTGCTTTGTAAGTATTCACTCTCAGGTGAAAAGTTAATGGTGACATGATTTATGTGACCATGACTGAGTTGTGAAGGATGTGCCTGCAGCCAAGGACATAAATGGGGATGTTAAGGTCTCTGCTCTCGCTTTCTCTTATTGTTGCTGTGTACCATTGAGTCAGGACTGAATCATCACTGGCCCTACAGCAGGTTTTCAGAGCCAGTTAATTGCATGGGAGATTGTTTATCCTTCTGCAAGCTTTCTCTTAGGGGTTGCAAATAAGGTCTGCATGGAAAATAGGTTATAGCCAGCTCACCACTGAGGACCAAGAGATAGAACTTAGGAACCTTATATTCTATTATGAAGGGAGCACAAGTGGCTTGATGGTAAGGAATTGTACTGCCAACCCAAAGGTACATGGTTTGAATCCACTTGCTGCTCCATGGGAGAAGGATGGGCAGTCTCTTCCTGTGTAGTTTATGGCCCTGAAAACCTGCTGAAAGGTCAGGTGTGGGTCGATTCTGACTTGATGATACATGACAATAACATGAAGGAGATAAACATTTTGAAGAACTCAGTAAAGCTTTGTTTCAGTTTTATCCGATAGACTATATAATCAATTATATGTATGCAAATGTGGTATCTAATTACTCTTCTGAATAATTGGAACTAGTTTAATAAAAATGGGGCTGCTCCACTGACACTTCACGATTTTTATAGAGAAAGATCTGGAAGCATATCTAGGAACAACAGACCATCCGGAGATTTATCTTAGTTTCCTCTTGCTTCTGAAATCTGACATGTTCTGAATCATTTGTGCAACACTGGAAGGTTCACAAGTTTGCTATTTATGATGTTTGCCAGGCTAAGCATATAGCTAGTGAGGCTGTACATTTGCCTTGTACATATGTTTATTATTTATTGCACTTCCTTTTAACAAACTATAAAGTTGTTCTTATTCAAAAGGTTTCAAAACATTTGTTGTTAATGTTAATGTTAATAAGAAGTCATTTTAGCTATTTTAAAATTTTTTATTTTATATTGGTTTGCTTACGAAGTTCATATACATTGTGTTTCACACAATTGTTTGTTCGTTCATATTGTGTTTCATATAATCATTCTCATGCATTATGTTTTCTAAAATTAATCACCATTGCACCTTGCCCATGATTACCCTGTCCTGACTGGAGAGCATTATGCTGAGTGAACTAACTCAGTCTCATAAGGACAAATACTGCATAAAACTATTATTGTAAAAATAGAAGGATAATTAGTAAAATATGTATGGGAATCAGGGAGGGAAGGGGTGAGAGCAGAGGGGTGAGAATGGGTAGGGGCAAAACCATAAGAAGCCATTTTTGCTACTGTTTATATAGCAATTTTCCATGATTATTTCTTTGAATTTTCATTAGAAAGACAAAAATAATACATGCATCAAACATAAACTGTTAGAAATGATACCTGGTTAAAATAAGATTCTTGCCTGTATTCTCAAACTATTGTTCCTAGATTCTTTCCACAAGGTAACTATTTTATGAGGCATGATGGGTGGCTAAGAGCTTAAGGTCTTAACTCAGTCTGGAGATTTATCTTAGTTTTCTCTTAAGTTCTTAACTCTTAAGTTAAGAACTCTTTCTCTTAAGTTCTTAAGTTTGTGTGGATTGAATTTAGACTTTTGCCATTTATTAGCCATATGACCTTGGTCAAATTGTTTTCCAGTCTATATCTCAACTATCTCATAAAAAAAAGAAATATCAGGGTACATGTGACACACACTTAAAATTTTTCATTTTGAAATTATTTTATATTTACAGAAGAGGTGCAAAACAGTATTGAGGATATGATTGGTGATACTAGACCAAAAGGGTGATGTTTGCCCAAAATCAAAACACAGAAGCCAAGAAGAATGAACAGAAATAAGACACTCAATAAAGATGTGGGAAGGGGAGTTACTGATGTACTGTGGAATTGTAATCAGTCATGAAACAAAGTGTTTCAAAATTGTTGAATAGAAAATCAACTTTATCTGTATATTTTTACTCAAACTACAATAAAAGCAAGTAAAAATGATACTGAGAGTTCCCATACTTTCTTCATTCCATTTCTCTTACTGTCATCCTTTTACAATGATCGAAAACTAAGAAATTAACACAAGTATAACAATAATGCTGCTGCTGCTGTTGTGGAGTAGGAACAGACCTGTAGCTGACACTCCAGTGGGTTTTCAAAGGGAGTAAATCACATGAGAGGAGGTTGCCCATCTTTCTACCAAGGAACAGCTAGATGGTAGATTCCAGGTGCATACTTTTGAGCTGGCAGCAAATCCTTTATCACTAAGCCACTGAGTTTCCCATAACAATACTTATTACTATTGTGTGTCATCGAGCCAAAACTCATTCATAGCTGACTCTCCAGCAGGTTTTCAGAGGTGGTATTCTCCTGAGGGGCAGCTGGTGGATTCGAACAGCATGCCTTTGGGGTTGCAGCTCAGCTTCTTACCATTAGACCACCAGATCTCCCTATAACAATATTGGAATTACTAAATTTCACCCCTGATATACTATTCTGTTCCACAATTAAAGCCAGGATCCTTTATTTAGATTTACTTCTTATGTATTATTCATATTCTCCATATCCCCTCTCTCTCTCCCTCCCTCCCTCTCTCTTTTTCTCCCTCTCTCCTTCTCTCTCTCTGACATAATTGTCAAATGGGAACCTATAGCAATTCCCAGAAGCTGTAAATTACATGGGAGTGTTAGCTGCTCCTGTGGAGCAGCTGGTGGATTCCACCGGTCCCCTTTTGGGTTTGAAATGCAACTCCCTGTGCACTAGGCCACAGAGATCCCTTCTGTTATTATTAGTTTTTTCTAATCTGTGGCAGTTACTTGGTCTAACTTTGGTTTGGTCAATTCTTCTATAAAATGTCCCTCAACTTGGGTTTGTCTGATGTTTTCTCATGGTTAATATTTAAGTTGTGCATTTTCAGCAAGAACAGCACAGTGGTAATATTTTGGTTTTCATTAGATGAATCTGATGATAGTAACCTTGATCACTTACATATTGGTGGGGTCTGTCAGGTTTGTTCATTGAGAGTGACAATCTTCTTCTTTGTAATTAATAAATATTTTGGATAAGATACTTTAAGACTGTGTAAATAACCCATTTCTCACAAACTTTCACCCATTTCCTCTAGCATTGGTTCTTGCCTGTAGCAATAATTACAGTGACATTCTAATGGTTATTTTCCATTTCTTTCATTCATCTACATTTATTCACCAGAATTCTTCTCTTCAGAAGAATTGAACTTTCTCCTCCTAGTATTTAGTTAATCATTTATTTATATTATAATATAAAGAATTATTATATTTTTACTTGAAAGCTATCTGTTTTGTATCATTTTCTTCCTTTTTTATTTTTTTTTATGGCACCAACAGTCTTTATCGGTAGCTACAGAGAGAGAAGGGAGCCCAGCTCCTGGTTCTGTGGCAGCGTTTTGAGTCTTGAGCTGTGAACTCTCTAATTTTCTTTTTCTTTTTTTTTTTTTTTTTTTAGTTAACCATGTCCTAAGCAAAGCAAGTGAGCTCTGGTAGCTTAGTGGTAAGAAATGACACTGCCAATGCAAAGGTATGCAGTTTGAATCCACCTTCACCAGCTGCCCCAAGGGAGAAGACGGGCACTCCCCCCGTGTGATTTACTGCCTCTGAGAATCAGCTGGAAGGTCAGCAATAGGAGAGTTCCAACTCCATGGTCCACAGCAATAAGGAGAAAAGCAAATCTGAGTGGTATGCATATTGCTATATGGGTTTCCTGACCACAGCAATGAGAGCAGATGCCCCAGCTTGAGAGAAGAGAGGGGATACTACCCACCAGGACCCCACTTACTGTAACCCATCAGGATCAGCGCTCCAACAAGCATGATCAGAGTCTGTAGAGCATCCGTGTAGATCACAGCAGCCAGGCCACCTGGAAAGATGGGTGAAGAGATGAGGGTCAGGTACTCTGAGAAGGAGTCATGCCGGTAGCAGAAGGAACTCCGGAGGTCAATACCTGACAGAGAAGATGTCTTAGTGTTGAGCTTTTTAACAAAGAGGTCACAATAACTCCACCCTGTGTGCATGTCTGTTTTGCAATATGACTTTGTTGCTCCTTTCTAGTTAATGTAGTTTCTTTTGCTCTTTTTTTAAAAAATAATTTTAATGAAAGTTTACAGAGACTTTACAGTCATTGTTACATTTTTCTCCCAGCCCCTCCCCACCCCCCCCCATTAGCTCTTCTCTTTGAAAAGTAAAAGAAAAATTCTTTCATTGTTATAAAATCCCTCCTCCCAAGCCTTCATTCTGGACTCCTGTTATAACAATAATACCTAATCATATATCCCTTTTAAACAGTTCTTTCCCTCATCTGCTTCAATGCAGCATACATTATTTATCCCCTCTTTCTCAGTCTCCCCTCAACCTTGATGTCAGTCCTGTTTTAGTCCCTCAAGACACTGTTGGTTCTGCCCTCTCTCTTATGTTGTCCTGAGACCACCATGCTTTAAGAAGCCCATTCTACACTAAAGGGAGATGCTGGCCCATGTGGTGGGCATTCTACCCAACACCCCAAGCTAATCGGTCTAGATGCCCTTCCTCTTCAGTGTTTCAAGTAAATCCAAGTGCAACAAATAGAACAGCCAATTGGTGGATCTACAGAACTGTGAAAAACAATAAGCCATTGTTGTTTATTGTTTAAGTCTCTAAATTTAGGTGTGATTTGTTATATTCAAGGAATCCTCCAGGTACAAAGGATGAACCCCCTCAACTGCTCACTAAAAGGTCAAAAAGTTGACAAAAGTTGTTTTGTCAAAACAACTATATCATCTCACCTCAGTAAGAATTTCAAAGTTTAACAGAACAGCAAACCACAAATGTTGGCAAGACTGTGGAGAAACTGGAACCCTTATTCACTGTAGGTGAGAGTGTAAAATGGTGTAACCACTATGGAAGGCTGTATGGCACTTTCTCAAATAGCTGGAAATAGAAATGCCATTTGACCCAGCATTTCCACTACTGGAAATATACTCTAAAGAAACCATAACTGCCACCCAAGCAGATATATGCACACCCATGTTTATTGCGGCTTTGTTCACAATAGCAAAGAGCTGGAAACAACCCAAATGCCCATCAAAAAAACGAACGAATAAAGAAGCTCTGGTACATTCACAAAATAGAATAATATGCTGCATTGAAAAAACAAGGAACTCATGAAATACTACACAAAATGGGTGACCCTGGAGGACATTAGTCATAGTGAAATATCTCAGTCACAATAGGACAAATACTGCATAGTGCCACTGTTGTAAAACGGAACTGACATGAGGGTTGGGGGAAGACTGAGAAAGATGGGATAAATTATGTATACTGCATTGAAACAGATGTGGGAAAGAACTGTTTAAAAGTTATATATAATTAGGTATTATTGGCATAACAAGAGTCCAGAATAAGAGCTGCATAGTAAAGTGGTCTGGGGTGGTGGGGACTGTATAACAGTGAAAGAACTTTCCCCCCCCAAGAAAAAAAGCCATCTGGAGGCAAGGGGGACAGGGAAGAAAATGTGCAACTATTGGAAATCCAAGTTCCTTATAAACTTTCATTAAAATCTCAATAAAGAGAAAATGATCATAGATTTTAGTCCCCTCAGTGGTGCTTCAGAAGAAAGGCCTGATGACCTACTTTAAAAACAGCCATGCACTGCCAACCCAAAGGAACACAGTTTGAGTCCACCAATTGCTCCACTGGAGAAAAATTAGCTATATCCTCCCAGGCAATTTACTGCTTCTGAACACCTGCGGGAGGTTCAGCTATGAATCAGTTCCAAATGAATGGTACATAAGAACAACAAGCACAAGTCTACTGTAATGTGCATGAGAGAGCCAGGAGTCAGAGCAGACTTGATGGCAACCATTTATTTGGTTGTTGATGCCAATGAACAGCAGTAAAAGCTTAATAGTATAACAGTATAATGCTAATGTGGTTCTTGAGCTAGAGTACCTAAGCTGGGAACATATTTACTTTTAACAATGGAGAAAGAGTGATTACGCAAAGGCATTTGACTGTGTGGGTCACGACAAATTGTGGCTAAACTTGAGAAGAATGGGAGTCCCAGAACACTTAGTTGTGCTCATGCAAAATCTGTTGTTGGACCAGGAGGCAGTCTTCAGAACACAGCAAGGAAACACTATGGTTCACAATCAGGAATGGAGTGTGTCTTTTCAATCTATATGCAGAACAGATAATTTGAAAGGCTGGACTTTATGCAGAGGAATGTGACACCTGAATTAGAGGAAGATTTATCAACAACCTGTGTTATGCAGATGATTCAACTTTGCTCACTGAAACTGAGGACTTGAAGCATCTGCATAAAGTCAAGGACTGCAGTTTTCAATATGGATTGAAGTTCAACATCAAGAAAACAGTGATTCTTACCACCGGACCAATTGGCAGCACCATTATAGATGGAGAAGAGGTTGAGATTATCAATAATTTCAGCTTGCTCCGGTCCACAATCAACACTTTTGGAACAAGCAGGCAGAGAGTCAAAAGATGAATTGTATAAGGAAAGTCTGCTATTATGGACCTCTCCAGAGTGCTGAAGTGCAAAGATGTCAGTCTAGAGACTAAGGTGCACTTGATGTATGCCATGGTCTTCACAATTACTTGCTATGCATCAGAGGAGAGCTGGACAATGACTAAGGATTGCAGAAAAATTGATGTTTTTAAGCTATGATGCTGGAGAAGAGTATTAACATATTATGGATTGCCAAGAGAACAAATATGTATGTCCTGGAGAGGGTGAAAACAGGTTGCTCTCTGGAGGCAAGGAGTTTGAAGCTCCTCATCACGTACTTTGGGCATGTGGCCAGGACCAGTCCTTGGAGAAGGGCGTCATGCTTGGGAGGGTGGACTGACAGTGCAGGAGAGGAAGACTCCTGATGAGATGGATTGACACAGAAATGGGGTAATAGGAGCAAGTTTGTTGGAGGCAGTGAGATAGGATAGGGCAGAGTTCAGAGTTTCAGAGTATTGTACATAGAATTGTTATGAGTTGCAGGCAACTCAACAGCACATAACAACAACAACAACACTCAGAGGTCCAATAGGCTTCCTGAACAGGGTCACAAGTATTGCCCCAGAACATTCTAGTTGACTTTGGCAATGAGAAAATTGCTGCAGCAATGATAGAAAAGTGATAGGCATAATTTGTTTTCCCTTCCCTCTGGTAGCCTAGTGGCAAGAAACTGCGCTGTAATCCAAAAAGCACGTGGTTCAAATCCACCAGCTGCTCCTCCTGTGCAATTAACTGCCTCTAAAAACCTGCTATGGGTTCCGACTCTATGGTAAACAACAACAATACGTCTTATTTTTTTTTAAAGTTTGGCTTGCATATCATTTGTTTATATTGTGTTTCATTCTTGTACATTGTTGGTTTTTGTTCGTCCCATCCCTCCACCCACCAGACTCTGCTACCCTGTGATATCCCCTCTCCCTCAATCCCCTTTCTCCTCCCCTTCCCTTTTTGTATATCCATACACATCTCATTGGTTATCCTTCTGTTTTTATGATAATGATCCTCTACAGTATTTGTTCTTATGCACCTGAGTTAGTTCACTCAACGTAATGCTCTTTAGCCTCTCTCATGTTACAACAGTATTTTCAAAATCATTGTTCCCGAGTCCTGCATAGTGTTCCATCATGTGAATGTACCAGAGTTTCTCAGTCTAGTCGTTTGTTGGTGCACATTTCCATGTTCTTGTTGTTGTGAATAATGCTGCTATTGGTGTACAAATCTCCATTTGTGTCTCAGTTCTGTTTTCCTTGAGGTATATTCCTAGCAGTAGACTAGCTGGGTCATATGGAATCTCTATGTTCAGCTCTTTGAGGAAATGCCAAACTGCCTTCCAGAGGGATTGTAAAAGGGATAGGCATCTTGATAGAGCAATCTTTCCAGCCTCTTCCCTTATATCTCTTCTTGTTCTTCCTTCCTTCACAAAAAGGAACATTTAGCTGACATGAACACCTGAGATTGCAATAATCACTGTGCAATTAAATACATTCACAGGAGGGCTGTGTTCAGGGAATTCTCCTTCCTTGCCAGCTGGCGAGCGGCTAGGGCTCTTTCACAAAAGGGAAATCTGATTGAGATTCTAATCTTAGTCCTCTCTTGACCTTTCCTGCAGTCAGCCTGAGTGGGGTGATATCCTGAACTTTGGTACCATCTAAACTTAACATCTCTTTTTTTTTGTGTGCTTGTATTTATTGAACACTTATCATATGTCAGGCATTGTGTTGAATATTCATTCACCAGATATCTTATTCTAAGGCTACAGAGACAAAGCAAACAGCATATTCACTGCCCTCTGGAAGCTTACGGTCTGTCTAGTGGAGGAACCAGACCTCAAACAAGGAAATATAAGCTAGCTATTACCATCATGCCATCCATTACTCCACACTTCAAGCATTTGACCTCCATTAATTCTGAGAACCCCACCAAGGTCTTTCCACACCAAGAACCTTTGCATATCCTAGATTCCCCCACCCCCTTTTCTGTTTAAAACCTCCAATGGTATCTTATGTCACTTAGAACAAAATCTGGGCTCTTCTTCCTTTTAAGGTTGTTGTACCTACTTTCTCCAGTCCTTTCTCCTGTACCTAGAGCTACTTCACAGCCCAATGCCAAGGTAGGAAGGTTCACTGTGGTTTATGTGAATGCCCTCCCACTCCAGCCCCACCCTCAATGCCTTCCTGTTGTTGTTGTGTACCATCAAGTTAGAATCAACCGACAGCTGACCCTCCAACGGGTTTTCAGAGGCAGTAATATCAGGGGAGGAGATTGTTCATTTTTGTCCCACAGAGCATCTGGTGAATTCAAACCTCACACCTTTGGGATTACAGCATAGCTCCTTACCACTAGACTACCAGGGCTCCATATCTTTTTTTCTCGATGGATGACGAAGAGATTGAGATTGTTCACAGCTTCAGTTTGCTCGGCTCCACAGTCAACACTCTTGGCACCAGCAGTCAGGAAATCAAAAAGCGTATCGCGATGGGAAAGTCTGCTGTTAGGGACCTCTCTAAAGTACTCAGGAGCAACAGTGTCTCTCTGGAGACTAACGTGCGCCTGATACAGGCCATGGTCTTTGCAATCGCTTGTTATGCATCAGAGAGTTGGACAATGACTAGGGAGGACAGAAGGAGAGTGGATGCTTTTGAGCTGTGGTGCTGGAGAAGGGTACTGAATGTACCCTGGACTGCCAGGAAAACAAACGGATTTGTCTTGGAGAGGATTAAACCAAGCTACTCCTTGGAGGCAAGGATTCTGGGGCTTCGTCTGACATACTTTGGACATGTTTCCAGGAGGGACGGGTCCTTGGAGAGGGGCATCATGCTTGGGAGAGGTGAGGGACAACGCAGGAGGGGAAGACCCTCTATGAGATGGATTGATTCGGTGACTGGGGTAATAGGGATGGGTGTGTCAGAGGCGGTGCGGTTGGTGCAGGATAGAGCAGGATTTAGGGCTGTTGTGCATAGGGTCGCTATGAGTCGGAAACGATTCGACGGCACATAACAACAACAACAACAACCTACCTACCTACATTTCCATCTATACTTTTATATATATCTATACCAATATATCAAGATATATATATATATATATATATAGATATATATATAGATATATAGATATATATATATATCATGTGTAGAATGCACAGAGGAGAATTATACACAGAAAAAGGTGAACTGCAGAGGATGAATATTTAAAATAAAGTACTTTTGGAGAGTGAAAGTTAATAAGTAGATAAGGTGTGTGATAAGGAAGGTGATGGTGTAGCTATGCAACATTGAGTTGGAACCAACACATAGCTGACCATCCAGCAGGTTTTCCAAGATAATTTAATTGCATGGAGAAAAAAAAAATAATCCATTTTTCTTCCATGGAATAGTTGGTGGATTTGAACTACATGAACTTTGAGATGGCAGTACAGTTCCTTACTCCTACGCCACCAGAGCTTGGTGGTGGTTGTTGTTGTTATGTGCCATCGAGTCGCTTGTAACTCATAGAGACCCTGTGTACAATAGCCCTGAAACCTGCTCTATCCTGTGCCAACTTTACTGTCTCTGATACACCTACCCTCATTACCCCAGTCACTGTATCAATTCATCTCATCAATGGTCTCCCTCTCTTTCTCCGTCCCTCCACCCTCCCAAGCATGACATCCTTCGCCAAGGCCCAGTCCTTCGTTGCAACATGCCCAGAGTATGTCAGATGAAGATTAGATATAATTAATGAATTGAAGGAATCAATTATAATTGTTTTGAAAGAAAATGTCGATGAATGATGAGTGACAAATCAACATGATTTGTAAACATTCACTCAAGTAAAATAATTTTCAAAACCAAACAAACCAGATGCTTTGACCAGATGCTCTGATGACTGTGCTGTGCTCGGCAGGTTCTCAGAGTCTAAGGGGAAAGATGAGGCTGTCAGTCCCCAAGTTCCAGAACTGCCATGGTTGGTGATCCAGCTTTGTATAGTGTATACGAATGCACGTGCTCAGTACTTAGTAGTTCTTCAACAAGTAATGACTGAATGAATAAATAAATAAATGGTAACTTGCTTTATGCTGTTGTTTGTATTTTAAAACATTTTTATCAAACAATTCTCTTCCTTTGGATGATAGCTAAGTGAAATGTTATGCATCTGGGATGGCAGAATAAGGTCCCAAGGCATACCTGTGACAGTGTAGAGCGCTGTAACGGCCAACAGTCCAACTATAGCCAGGTACAAGTCCAGGTGCAAAGACTGTTGAATGAAGATGGCACCTGCATACATATCCACCTGCAATGACATCACGTGGATAGATGAATGAGTGGATAAATGCATCGGCATTTGATGATTAGGTCTTCTGAGACCAGGCTGTATGTAACCTAGATTCTGGAAGACACGTTAAGAGTGGTAAGTCTTCCTTTTTTCCTTTCCTTCATCTTTGCCCAGTTGAGGAGTCTTCAACTGAGGTCCTGAGGACAGTTAGGTTTGAGACCTCCTGCTCTGGGCTAATGCAATAGCCATCTCTCACTAGTCTTCCTGCTTCTTCTCTTAGGCCATATACATGCCATTCTCCATGCTTCAACCTTTATAATATCACTACCACATTATCCTCTTCCTATGACAATTCTTTAATACCTCCCCACAAACCCCAAGATAGTTTCAACTTTACAATCTGTGTGCCTCTTAAAACCAATTTCTTTGACTTCATATTCCCAGTCCTCCCAAATGCTCCCAAATATTCCCTTAACAAATCATGCTCTTCCATGCCTCCAAGCTCTTGCTTGTTTTTGTTCATCTATCTGGACTTTCAGTCTTCCCCCCCCCTTTTTTTAATTAATTTTAATGAAAGTTTACAGAGACTGGTTTCCAGTCATTCATTGTTGCACTTTTCTCCCTGTCCACTCCCTCCCCCGCAGTCTTCCCTTTTCAAACCAGTAAGCCCTGATTAGAAACTTCCCTGGGGAAGTGTTCCCTCCATCGGTACCTTCCCACTAGTCTATGAGCTGGTGTTCTAGAAAAGAGCCTGTATCTTTGCTCCTCATAACTGGAGCTGGCAAAGACTCAATTCTTGTTATTTGGGTTAAATTGGATCTTTTCTGTCCTATAGCCCCACCACATTTGGCAGCCGAGAGAGAAGGCAGCCTCAGTTGGAGTCAGGCTTGACGGCAGGACCCCAGGTAGCCACTTTTTATTATTTTCTGTATCAGCCAATTTGAAAAGCAGTTTTGGGCAGCCCATCAGCACATCTTATTAACAACCTATGACTGTATAATCCCAGGAGGGAGCTAATAGTCCCACCCCAGGGCTTTGGGAGTTGGGTCCCATTAGTGACTCATGTCACCTAGAGAAGGAGCTTTGAGAGGTGGAAATGACTGTCCTTCTATATCCTATACCTCGGCTTACCCTGTAGAGAGTCCTAGCAACTTAGTGGTAAGGAATTGCACAGCCAACCCAAAGGTGCACAGCTTGGATGCATGGGAGAAGAATGGACACTCCAACTTACTGTTCTGAAAACCTACTGAAGGGCCAGCTATGAGTCAGTTCCATACTCAACAGCACAAAACAACAACAACAAAGGCTTACCCTCCAGGGAGCTCTGGTGGCTTAATGGCAAGAAACTGAGCTGCCAATCCAAAGTTAAACGCTCCACCAGGTTGCTTCAGGGGAGAAAGAAGGGCAGCTAACAGCTTACCCTCACCCTGTGCTCAGCGCCCTTTGGGCAGAGGCCCTTCTCCCCTCCCTGAGTGCTGCAAGAGGAGGAGAAAGTGTGTGAGGAGGAGACACCACCACCACCCCAGCACGGACTGAGACTTCACTTGCCCCACACTCCAGGCATGACGCGAGGCTGCCTTACCGAGATCTTGGTGAAGATGTATATAAACAGGTAGAGAACAGCCAAGATGATGGGAATCCTGTTGCTGCCAAATCGTTTTCTTAGGTATTCCGGCATCGTAGTGACCTGGGGCCAGAGTAGAACTTATGGCACCCAACCAACACCACCTCCCTTGCACCAGCTTTTCCTGTCGCCTCCCTCCCAAGCAAGCACAGAAAGGTCTGTTGTCGTTGTTAGGTGCTATTGACTTGTAGCGACCTAATGAACAACAGATCTGAACCCTGTCCTATTCTGTGCCATCTCATCAGCTGTTGTCACCCCTGAGCCCATTGCAGCAGTCACCGTGTCAAGCCATTTCATTGAGGGTCTTCCTCAACCAGAAAAATCTATTAGGGAATCTCAACTAAACATTTAACAAGGGAGGAGAAAACAGGGTGATATAATAAGATATTGGGGTCCAGTACAACGATGTGTATCATATTTCCCAAATACTTTAATTGTTGTTGTTGTTACATGCCACCGAGTTGACTGTGACTCAGCACTCATCCTAGTTTTTGCCACATCATGGATTATTATCAAATGTTTTCATTTATACCAACACACATTATTTTAAATAAACTTACCTAAAAGGAAAGTGGCAGCCACTTCCTAAACCACATGCCTCTGGAAACTCTATGAACTTGGAGGAATGACAATAGTTTTAGAAAGGCTTCAGGCCTTTTGTTCATAGGGTCACTATGAGTTGTGCTCGACTCGACGACAATCAACAACAACAACAGCGAAAGGAAACTAAATCACTCATGTAATGAAAAATGAGGATTACTTGCCCTAAATTTAAGAGAACCAACAAAAAAATAAATACTTGGATAATGAATAAATAAATCCATTTCTTTTTGGTTCTTCCTAGCGGTTTACTGCTGCACACCAAGGGAACTGTTCTGGTTGTTGATAATTCTTTCTTTGTAAAAGAGCTTAAGAGCGAGGAGAGTTGTTGGAGAAATAATGGGACAGTATTAAAGGCATTCTAGTACCAATAAGAGACATTTCCTTTAAAGTCGCTGAAAAGAAGTGAAAGGCAAGAGAAAGAAGAATAACTTCACTCTGTGTGTGGCTCAGTGTCCTTGACTACATCTTGGTCTGATAACTACAATAATCTCAAGTATTTCCATTGACCCATATTCCAAACTTTAGGAAAATTGCTTTGCTATAAACTTTTAGCCTGGTTATCAGACGCAAGGAAATCTAGAAACTTAACAGGCCAGTTCCAGAAAGAGTAGGGTGATTAGAGATCACCATCCCTGAGGAAACACGGAATCATGGTCGCATCACCAGGCCCTGGTGGAGTGCTCATAGCGTAGTCTGTAGGAGATGTGCGGCTAACACAAAAGGTGGTGCCTCTCTGACAGTTCGAATCCCCCAGAGCCTCCTCAGGAGATAAATGGGTAATCTCTGGTGAAATTTACATCTTTGAAAAACCTGCTGGAGGTTCAGATTTGAGTCAGTTCTGACTCTACTGGCAATGAAGGTATTTGGGGTATTCAAGCCCTCTAACTTCCCCAGGGGCGGAACCTTGGTGCTAAGAATTAATATTCATGCTATATTTTTCTTGGGTTTGGAAGTGTCTTTCTCCAGTCTCCCTACCCACAGATTTAGGGTTGACTCTGGTTCCCGTTGTTCACAGAGTTGTTCTGAGTTGCAGTCAGCTCAACCGCACCTAACGGCAAAACCTGGGAGGTACTAGACCTAACGGCAAAACCTGGGATTTCAGACCAACGGCTGTTCTTCTGTACTAGAACTTGGATGGGAAAGATGACAGAATACCACTTCTTGCAGGAATATTTGCAGCATCTCCAGGCAATTATCGCTGCTGAGCTATTTCCACAACTCAGGGAGGAGGCAACAGTGAGCCAGGAGCTGAAGTGTACATTCTAAGGTCAGACTGTACAAGCTGAGGAGTCTCATAGAGGCTGATGATGGAGAAACTTGAAGGGGACACGGGAAGAGATTAGATGGCCAGACATAGTTCAAGAACAGTAAAGTGGCCTAATAGTACTATCTGGGTGGTGGATAGATATAGGAATGTTCAGTGTAACATAATTTCACATTTTTTGCAAGTTGAAATTTTTCATAATAAAACAAACTCAGGAACAAATGGATTTTTTGCAATAGGAAAAAAAAAAAAAAAGACCTGCTGTCCTATTAAAAAAAAAAGGCAAACAACCAAACAAACCAATTTCGGATCTCGAACCTCATAAATGTCTTTGATTTGTTTTAAAGGAAAGACAGCAGGAATGGTCGAAGCACATTGTGCTGAACGCTGGCGTGCTCTTAAGGAGTAAGTGCATCCTCCTAATTAGCAAAAGCGTTCAGATAGGTGGACCAAGGGAGACACTCCCGCAGTGGCTTGGCTATCTTATCTGTGAATGACAACTCCCAGCTGGCCTTGGTTGAGGACTCTCCTGTTATTGATTGACAGCCTTTATTGTCAGTTAACCTTCATTTTAGTCTAGAAAGAAGGATCCTGGGACGTCTGTCTTAGGTCTTCAGAGATCACAAGTTTTAAAATGTGCTAAGAGAGGAAGGAGGGATGAGTCATTGGGAAGCAAATATAAAGTATAAAGGATAACAAAACTGACAACGAACATAAATGATTTTTTAAGACTCTTTCTTCAAAAAGTCAAAAGTAAGGGGAGCTCTGGTGGCCTAGTGGCAAGGAGCTGCAACTACAATCCCAGAGGAGCACGGTTCGAATCCACCAGATGCTCTGCCGGGGAAGGAGGGACAATCTCCTCCTGTACCAGTCAGATCTGATGTGATGGTACACTCACACAAAAATAATAAAAAATTTAAAAAGTGGAAAAAAAAAAGTCAAAAGTAACATCATTTTGCCACAAAAGTTTTGGCAGTTCCCATCAGTCAAAAATGCCTTGATTATTGTAGTTTTGTGCACAAAGAAAGAAACACTTCATTTTTTTTTTTAATTTAAAAGCTTTAACATATAATGCCTTAAATGTTTAGAAGAGACTGGATTTAATTTATTAAACTTTTTTTTTTTTAGCCTAAGCTTCTTCCAGCCTCAGAATAGCGCAGGCAAACTGTCAGTGCTGGTTACAAGGTGGACACTGGGAAGGACAGGACTCCTGATTGGCTCACTATGCACCATCTCTCATCTGTGTCTGTCTACTGGGAGATAGGGAGGGATGATGGTTGGAGAGAAGGGAATATTTACCTTCCCAAAGGCTCACCTCATTTCAGTTCCCCAGTAGCCCTCAGACTTACCCGACCAGCAATGTAGATGGGTAGAAAGATCCATGACAACATCAGCACAGAGAACAAACCCTGTTCAAGGAAACACAGGCAGTACTCAGCCCCAAGCCCACACCAAGATGGCAATGTGAATTTGCCTCTCTTCTGTGGGCACCTGGCCTGAACTTTGCCTCCGTCTCAATTCTCACCCACTGAATGCTCCCTTTCCCTGGGCTTCGTATCTCCATTTGTAAAACGAGGCAAAGGAGATTAGATCGGGAAGGATGGAAATAGGAGCCTTCTGTGTCTCTTTCTGTCTCCTCTGGCTTTTGTTAAACTTCCCATGTTAATCGCTGTCATTCAGTTGCTCTCCTTCTTTCCCTTGGCAGTGGTTAAAACACAGGCTGTGAGGTTAGACGAGTCTAGACTCAACGAATAGATCCAGGGGGTGTTTGTACATGAGCTCTGAGACTCATTTCCCTCATTTATGAAACAGGAGTGAAGGTCTCACTGGGTTGTTGTGAGTAATCAGTGAGATGACATTTACTTAAGCACTCGCTATATGGAGTTCTGTGGTGGTAAGAAGCTGCGCTGCAATCCCAAAGGCAGGCAGTTCGAATCCATCAGATGATCTGGGGACAAGGATGGGCAATCTCCTTCCATGCATTTTACTGCCTCTGAAAACCCACTGGAAGATCGGCTATGAGTTGGCCAGCTTTGAGTTGACTCTAACTCAACAACACACAGTAACAAAGCCCTCACTATAAATCAGGCCCTCCTGTGTACCCTTTATAAGCATTAACTCATTATGGTTAATTTTATACATAAAGAACTAGGAGTTCAGAGGCATTAAATAAATTGTCCAAGGTTAAGCAACTTGTAAGTATTGGAAGCCAGGACGTGAACACTGACAGTCTAGTTTGATAACATGGCAATGAATGTACATGCTTTGGTCTATGCCCGGCATAGAGTAAGCACTTTAAAAATGCTAGTCATTATAATTATGAAGAGAATTATTAACACGTACACCTCACTCAGTGATGAAAACCATATCTGGAATAAACCCTGTACATAGAGTGGTCCTGTTACTTGGGTACTTGTGGGACAGGAAAATGGTCTAGAGTCACTAAGCCACATAGTTTTTGTGATGACCAATTGAGGTATAAAGTAGACAGCAATAACTTCTAACCCCATGATATTTTCCTTTTCTTGAACCTACAAGAAATTGATTCGTAGTCTTCTTTTCCACATTCATATTTTGGGATTATAGTCCAGGATTTGCAGATTAAGACAGATAAAGATTAGTTTACCAGGGCTCCTTGTTTGTTTTGTTTTATTCTCATGAAGCACCACGTCATTGTTAAAAATGAGACAGTCACACAGCCTTCTCCCTGAATGTATTTACGAAGTAGAAAGTGAGATGACTATGCCCTGGGTAAGAAAAAAATAAATAAATTTACTCACGTTAAGTTCATAAGCAGATGCAGAAATACCCGTGGCAGCACCAGACCCTGCCAGGCCAATAAAATGTCCACTTCCAACATTGCTGGCAAACAGAGACGCACCCACCTGCGGTGAATTGAATGAGTCAGATCGTGGAGCTGAGACCTGCAGTAGGTACATTCTAGATTCTTCCTTTGCCCTAAAGGGGCAGGGGTAGAAGAGCAAATGGGCCAGATAGAGTCCTTTTTATTAGGTGTTTTGGTGCAGATTAACAAAAGACTCATTCCTCAAGACTCTCTGACTTCCACCATCATAAATTGGCTCAGTTAATATGTACATCATATGTGATATGTGAAGTACACCGTCTAGGGTTATGTGAAGGGAACTCAGATGGCTTACTGGTAAGGAGTTTTACTGCCAACCCAAAAGCACAAGGTTTGAAACCATCAGCGGCCCTTTTGGAGAAGGATGAACAAATATTTTCTTGTGATTTGTAGCCTCTGAAAAACCCACGAAGCATCAGTGATGACTTGGTTCTGACTGGACAGCACATAACAACAACAACAACAGGGTCGTGTGAAGCTGTAGTCTTTGATCTTCAGTAATTATGTCAAGTCTTAGAGCATTCAAGACCGAAATTGCCAACAATTGAATTTTCTTTGGATCCATAATCAACACAGCAGTCACAAAATCAGAGGATATGTTTCATTGGGGAAATCTGCTGTCATGGACCTCTCCAAAGTTCTAAAGAGCAAGGATGTCAGTTTAAAGCCTAAAGTGCACCAGATCCAATCCATAGCATTTTGCATTTCTTGGTATGCTTCTAAAAGTTTGATAATTAATAATAGAAACGGAAGAATTCTTGATGCCTTTGAATTGTGGTGTTGGTGAAGAGTATTGAACTATGGACTGCCAAATCAACAACAACGAAAACAACAAACACACTACCGATCTTTGAGGAAGTACAATCAGGGTGCTTCTTGGAGAAAAGACGGGGGAAAGTCATTTCACTTACTCTGGGAGGGGCCAGTGCTTGGAAGAAGACATCATGGTGGGGAAGGATCAGTGAAAGAGAAGAAGACCTCTCAGAGAGGAAAGTCACTGGATTGTCACAGTGATTTCAACAGTGGGATTAAGCATGGCTGATATAATGAAGATAGCACAGGATAGGGCAAGGTTCTGACTGGTTGTTCATTGGGTTGCTGCGAGTCATGGTTGGCTCAATAGCACCTAATAATGACAGAATTGTGTAGTGTGTAACTTAAACAGCTGTGTGTAACATCCTGGGGTGTAGGAAGGATGGCAGGAAAGTGCTTCTTTATGTGAATCAGGACATCTGTGCTATTCCATAACTCTGCTTCTAACTTATCAAAATAGATAGCTCTTCTCCTGGTAGAACTCTATATGACGAAGATGGCACTGGATGACCTCACTGTAAGGCCTGGGCAGCAGAACAAGGTGAGGTCCTTTATAGTCTCTCTCTTGGTAATTTGGAACTATGACACAGTCTCCACTGGGCCTTGGACTGTTGTTATTGCTATTGTGTACCATTGAGTCAGAACCAACTCATAGGTGACCCTCCAGTGGGTTTTCAGAGTAAATCGCAAAGGAAGAGACTGCTCACGTTTCTCCCATGGAGCAGGGGGTAGATTCGAACTGTGTGCCTTTGGGTTGGGAGTGCACCTTCTAGAGGTACATAAACTAAGGAGAGGTGTGTGTGTGTGTAGTTAAGGAGAGACATGTTAAGCCATGTGCTCATCATCATCATAAGTCTGCTGAGACTATGAAGGAGATATATAAAGGCAGACCAAGTAAGTGTGGTGTAGAACCAGAGAGGGAGAGAGAGACAGAGAGTTGTTTGGGTCTCCCACTGGCTTTATAATTTCTGGTTCTAATCCACTGATAAGCCTAGGGTCAGTCCCAGTATCATTTTGATGACTGGTCACCAGTAACAAATAAACCAAAACCCAGCCCAAAACTCATTCCCATTGAGACAGAATTGACTTATAACTAACTCGTTGACTCTAATTTGTAGTGACCTCATGTGTGTAAAGTAGAATCACATTCTATAGAGAATGACATTCAATAGTTGCTTTTTTTGGAAGCACATCATCAGAAGTTTCTTATAAAGTACCTCTAGGTGGGCTCAAACCTATAGCTCTATAGCTCTAGTTAGTGGCTAAGTTCAAAAAAGCATTTCATTCAGTCTGCATGTGGAGGACAGGTAACAGACAGGTGGTATTGCAGATGAGACCCCATCACCTCATCCAAAACCTCTGCTTTATTCCCTGGAAGCAGCATGAAACCTAGACCCCAATCTTGACTTAGTAGCTGGATGACCTTGAAAAAGCCAGTTAACTATTCTAAGCTGCAGTGTCCAATCTTTAAAATTGGAATAATAATGATAGTACTCCAAGGAACTGTGAGAAACATTATCTATCTATCTATCTATCTATATACATATACATATATATATAGTTGTTGTTGTTGTTGTTATGTGCCGTCGAATCGCTTGCGACTCATAGTGACCCTATGTACAACAGCTCTAAACTCTGCTCTGTCCTGTGCCAATTGCACTGTCTCCGACACACTCATCCCAATTGCCCCAGTCACCGAATCAATCCATCTCCCAGAGGGCCTTCCCATCCTGCGCCTGCCCTCCACCCTCCCAAGCATGATGTCCTTCTCAAAGGACCGGTCTTTCCTTACAACATGACCCAAGTATGTCAGACAAAGTCTCAGAATCCTTGCCTCCAAGGAGCAGCCAGGTTTAACCCTCTCTAGGATGAATCTGTTTGTTTTCCTAGCAGTCAATGGTACCCTCAGCACTCTTCTCCAACACCAAAGCTCAAAAGCATCAATTCTCCTTCTATCCTCCCTGGTCATTGTCCTGCTTTCTGACACCTAACAAGTGATTGCAAAAACCATGGCCTGTACCAGATGCACCTTAGTGTCCAGAGACACACCATTGCTCTTCAGTACTTTAGAGAGGTCTCTAACAGCAGACTTTCCCATCGCAATACATCTTTTAATTACATATACATATACATATACATCATATACATATGGAAGTTATGGATGAGAAAACCCTTATAAGTTGTGTAAGTCAGTTCTTTCTCCGTGGCAATGAGGCTTTGAGGTTTTTAGTTTGTTTGTTCTTTAGATTTTATATTGATGAATAATGCAGACTGAAGACTATAGGTTCTGAGCTTCATCAAGAAATGCTTCAAGTCCTTTTCATTTTCCGCCAGTAAAGTTGTGTCATCTGCCTATCGCAGGTTATTGATGAGACGTTCTCTAATCTTGATGCCACATTCTTCTTCTCAAATGATTTTCCAAAGCAATTTAAGAGAAACTTCGAGGCTACCAGGTCAAGGCCCTAGGAAACTGGTACCTTCCATTTGTACCTTCTTGGAAGTCATCTGCTTTATAAAGAAGCTCGGGTTGGGTCACTGAATGATGAAAGAGCATACTAGGAGAGATAATTCCAACCATCTCTGTTAAGAGACTCTGTCATGTGGGTGAGGCTATCTTGAATCTTACAGGCCAGGCTAGCCACTAGCAAAATGCAACTTCAGGAGTGAGTCCGAAGGAGATCCCCAGAAGAATTACCAACCTACAGGACATTATTAGTTATAATTGTAAATAGTAAATAGTAAACATTGTAGCTATGGTGTGCCCAAGGTTTTGGGTGGTTTTCCCCCTTCTTCTTAGTATTCATTGATTACAAAAAACAAAGCTAAGATACTAAAACTTTCATTCCTTTCTGACCTAAGGGAGGATAATCTAAAGAGAATTAGCAAAGAAATGGCCCCAGAATAAATGCAAGGAAGCAGGTCTAATCCAACTGGCTGGTCTGCTGTGTTCTTGCTGACTCTTAGGAAACCAGCATCATCACAGAGGCCACCAGATCAGCTTTCCCTTATATTCTTTCCTTTGTGACCTCTAACACAAATGTACTATCTGCATTGCTGTTTGCTTTTATTTTACTGTAAATGGATATAAGTTCATATAGTATGATTGAAGTTGACAACACAACTTATGTGAAAAACCATTATTTCAAATAAAGTGAAAACTAAAAAGGCTGAAAATTCTAGCAAAGTCCTCTAGGATGTCAAAATTGCTGAACCTGAATACCCTCTTTGTGAAATAAGGCAGAAGTAGAAAGTTGGTAAAGACATATTAACATCAAACTTGGACTTCTCCTTTCAAGTAATTTGGGGGATTGGCAAAGAATCAGAAAGTGAGTATTGTTCTCGCTATTCATCTTAGTTGGACCCACAATTAACACCTTTGGTACCGGCAGTCAGGAAATCAGGAGACTAAGGAGTGTCTGATTCAGCCCGTGATCTTTCTAATCACTTGCTATGCGTCTGAGAAGTGGACATGAATAAGCATGACAAAAGAACTGATGCCTTTGAGCTGTGGTGTTGGAGAAGCAGGCGGAACATCCATCGAAGAACCAGAAGAACAAACACATATATTTTGGAGAGGGTACAGCTAGAATGCTCTTTTGAGACAAAGATGATGAGACTTCATGTCACATACTTCGGTCATGTTGCTCTGAGGTGCTGTTCTTTGGAGAGGAACATGATGCTGGAAAGGTAGGGGTTTGGTGAAGAAGAGGAAGACCCTTAACCATGTGGATTGACATGGTCCCTGCCACAATGAGCTCTAAAATGTCAGAAAGTGTGAAGAAATGTACAGGGTTCAGATCTGTTGTTCACAGGGTCACTGTGGGTTGTACCCAATTCCATGGCACCTAACAACAACAATTTCACTTGATGCTACAAATGTTATGTCTTTATGCAATAGGGGGGTGGGGGAAAGCTTTGGAATTGGTTAATTATACTTTGGGAAACACTGCAGTTCTTGGTCTTACTAAAAATGGAAAATAGGCGGTATTTCCCTGGTCTGTCCCTCTGCCTGTTTCTCTCTCTGCGAACCAAGGAATCTTGCCCGGGAAACCCTTTAACAAAGCTTCTTAAGCTTAAAAAAATAGGAAAATACTTTCCCTTTTATTAATTCAAATATCTTCTCTTTCTTTTAGAATATCAGAAAGACATATATTATCCTTGATCATTTACCCAAAGAAACTATTAATGGGAATGTAGAGTTTATTTGTGTTCTCAGCACCTATTTTTTCTCCTCCTGTTAGTGACCTCCAACTTTCCTTCAGAGTTCAGCACTGACGACGTTCTACCCTCTCAGCTTAGACATTGAACGTGAGACCCAGGCTTTCTCAGCCCATTAGACTGTGCCTAGTCACAGTGTTTTTGCTCTCAAATGAATACGAGATGCAGTCAGAGGTGGGATAGTCATCATGACCGATGTCTTGAAGGAAGGTGCTCTTCATACACCGAGAAGATGAACAGTCTGAGGTACTGTGCACCAACATGTGAAAGGAGAGCCTGTCTGAAATTAGCACCCGTTCAGAAGAGATCCTGACAGATAGTGTTGAATAGTGAGTGACTTAAACAGCACCAAAAACCACTTACCGGCCACCACACCATGTCCCCTCCTGCCAAGAAGTAACCTTTCACTGTATCTCTTTTGGTCTTCACTGTGGACTGAAATGAAGAAGAGAGAAATGTTAGCAATTGGAACCATTCAAAAATTCTAGTTTTCTCCTCAAATATGTTTAGTGTGACACATGGTTTTAAAGAAATTTGAATGTGAAGAGCTTTAGAGCAGACACAAACTCTCCAACTCAAACAGTTCCTGCCTCCGAAGTTTTTTGCAATCTGTCTAATGCTCTACTCCACTTTTGCTGTTGTTGTTATATGTCTTCAAGTCAATTATGAACAATAGCTCTGAACTCTGTCCTAGTTTGTGCAAATCTCACTGTCTTTGACTTATCTTCTCCTATTACCACAGTCACTGTCAATCTATCTCATCCAGGGTCTCCCTCTCCTGCATTGACCCTTCAGTCTTCCAAGCACGATATCCTTCTCCAAGGACTGGTCTCTCCTGGCAACCTTTCCAAAGTATGTGAGAGGGAGTTTCAAAATCCTTGCCTCCAAAGAGCAGTTTGGTTTCACCCTCTCCAGGACAGTCCCCACCTCATAAGTTTTTTGTAACCTGCCTGCTCCACCAGACGGTTGAATTTTAGGCCCCGGGGTTGTCTTATCTTAGAAAGCTTATAATGCACTACTCTCCTGGGAACTGGACAAAGAATAAGAATGAAAGAAGGAAAATTGATGCTTCTGAACTGTGGTGTTGGGGAAGAATATGGAATATTCCATGGATATTAGAAAGAAAAAACATGTGTCTTAGAGAAGGTATAGCTGGAGTGCTTCTTGGAGGCAAGTTGGTGAAGCTTCCTCTCATTTATTTTGGGCATTTTGCTTGAAGAAGGATATCATCGCTTGGAAAGGTGGGGTGATAGTAAGGAGAAGATGACCCCCAAACCAGGCATATTGACATAATGACTGCAGCAATGGCCTCGAGTGTGTCAGAGATTGTGAGGTTGGCACAGGACAGGACAGAATTCAGATCTGTTGTTCCTAGGTTTGCTCTGAGTCTTTACTCAACTTGACACCTAACAAAAGCATATACTAGATAGTAAATAGGGAGCTCTGGTGGCCTAGTGGATATAGAGTTGTGCGGCTGATCCAAAGGCAGTGGTTTGAATCTACCAGCTGCTCCATGGGAGAAATAGGGGCACTCTCTCCTGTGTGACTTACAGCCTCTGAAAACCTGCTGGAGGATCAACTATGAGTCATTTCTGACGCAATGACAATGAATTGAATTGAAACGCTAAGTAATTGTTTTATTGGCATTCACTCATCTTAATATTTACAAACCTACATGAGGTAGATATTGTTAGGCCACACCACAGATGAAAAAAATGGGGCTCTGATGCAGTGATATCTAATATTGTACTTGTTATTAGTGACAGGGTTGGGAATCCAAAGCCAGGTCAATCTGATGTTCTGTCTAGAGACATTACGGTCACTAGCTTGTGCTAAGGTGGATGCTCTGCAGGAATAGTCAGTAGGAGTTGCACGGTTCAAATCTACCTGCAGCTCCTCTGGAGAAAGATGGGTAATTTCCTCTCATGCAAGCTACAGCCTCCAAAGAATCTACCAGAGGGAGCTCTGGTGGCCTAGTGGCAAGAAGCTGCACTGCAACCCCAGAGGTATGGAGTTCGTATCCACCAGATGCTCTGCTGGAGAAGGAGGGACAATCTCCTTCTTTACCAGTCAGATCCGATTAGACGGTGCACACACAAAAATAATAAAATAAAATATCTGCTGGAGGATCAGCTATGCATTGGCTCCAATTGTACAGCAATGAGTTTGAGGGTTTTAAAACTAATTTCTGTTGGATTAGTTGTTTAACTTCTCGGAGACTCTGTGAGTAGAATTTCGTGAGGGTATTCTTACTCTGATTAAGAGGCAGCACAAAGTAGTATTATCTCTTCCAGCCCCAATAATTGATCTCACTGTGTAGAACAGATAGCTCTGGTAACCTACTGGCAAGGAGCTATGCTGTCATTGCAAAGGTGTGCAGTACGAGGCCACCAGCGGCTCCACTGGTGAGAAGGATGGGCATCTCCTCCTGTGTGATTAAGTGAAAACTCTCCCTAAGGTCAGCTATGAGTCGGTTCCGACTCTATGGTACACAACAACAACAACATGTAGAATAGAAACAGAGTTTTTGGCTCCCTCCTGCTAACCTCTGACACAGGAAGTATTTTCTAAGAATCAAGAACTGCCACTTTTTTCTTTTTTTTCTGCTTTAGAGAACTGTTTATTGTTTAAAAATCATAACTGAAGCATCAAAAAATGTACAACCCTACACATCCCAATTCCAGCCCCCACTTCCTGAGGGAAGTGCAGGACTGTTTAGAACTGTCACTTTTATTCACTTCCTTTTCTGCTATGTCCTAAAGTTTGGCTTCATTCGTGTCTTTACAGAGTCCTTTCCTTCTTTCCCCTATTCTTTGTTTTCCCCTTTAACTCTTTTGCACGACCTGCCTTTCACTAGCCATGACTCTGTTTTATTGCCTTAATAAATCTTTTTCACTTGTTTTGCTAAATTTTTTAAAAAAATAGAACTCCCTATGTTTAAAGGAAGAAATTACCCATGTTTTTCCCAGATTAACTGGTGGATTTGAACAACCTACCTCTGGGCTGACGGTGCAATTCCTTACCCATTAGACCACCAGAGTTCCCTAGACATTATTACTTTAGCTTCATTAATAAAGAATGGCTGCTTGGAACAACGTGCTTTACAAGGTTTATCTACATAGGAGCAAATTGATAATGTTAGTGTTGTTGTTAGGTGCATTCAAGTCGAGTACAACTTATAGTGGCCCTTATAGTGAGCAACAGATCTGAACCTTGTTGTATCCATGCCATCCTCATCATCTCCTACATTCTTGATGCCATTGCTGCAGTCACTGTGTCAAGCCATCTCATTGAGGATCTTCCTTTTTTTCATTACCTTCCACTTTTCCAAGTATGATATCTATTTCCAAGGAAAATTGTTGTTGTGCACCATTGAATTGGAATTGACCCATAGCTGACACTCCAGCGACTTTTCAGAAGCAGTAAATTATATGGGTGGAGATTGCCCATTTTTCTTCTGTAGTGCAGCTTGTGGATTCAAGCCACAAACCTTCGAGTTGGCAGCCACTGGGCCGCCAGAGCTTCCTCTAAGGACTCGGCCCTCCTAACAACATGCCCATTGTATGTGTGATGAAGCTTCACCATCTTTGTATCTAGGGAGCACTCTGGTTGCACTTTGTCCAAGTTGAATCTGTTGATTCTTTTGGCAGTCCATGGACCAAGATTAGATAGGGATCTTAGAGGGCAGTAAGATTACGTTAGTGGAAAAAAGATCTCAGAAAGCGAAAGTGAGAATTGTTCCTGAATTCAAAAGATGTACTCAGTATCACTAAATTGTACATGTAGAAATTGTTGGATAGGAATATTTTATTTTCATATATTCTTAACAATAGCAAAAAGAAAATACATTATATATGTCATATATTGTTGTTGTTGTTATGTGCCATCGAGTTGCTTGCGACTCATAGCAACCCTATGTACAAGAGCTCTAAACACTGTTCTATCCTGTGCCGACCTAGCCATCTCAAATGCACTCATTCCCACCACTCCACTCACTGAATCGATGCATCTCATTGAAGGTCTTCCTCTCCTTCGCCATCCTTCCACTCTCCCAAACATGATGTCCCTCACCAAGGACCAGTCCATCTTTGCA